CCCAATGAACCCTAAACCCCAAAGTTGAGGGCTCCGCGTGACATCACAGTCGATGTCGTCGTCACCCTCCTCATCGTCACCTTCGAAGGCAGGAACTAATCAAGCTTCTTTAGAGGTTTTGGGCTCTGGCAAGAAAATCCCTAAGCACTACTAAACCCTAAACCCTAAACCCTAAACCCTAAACCCTAAACCCTAAACCCCCCCAAACCCTTAACCCTAAACCCTAAACCCAAAATTCCAGACCCCAAACCCTAAACCCTACACCCTAAACACTAAACCCTAAACCCTACACCTAAACCCCAATAAACCCTAAGCCCTCGGTGAGGATTTGGAGCCTGGCTGTGAAACTGAGGACACCATGCCAAGAAATTCGCTCCCGGGGTTTAGGGTCCAGGGTTTGTCGGGTTTAGGGTCCAGGGTTTGTCGGGTTCAGGGTTTGGGGTTTATAGGGTTTATAGGGTTTATAGGGTTTATAGGGTTTATAGGGTTTATAGGGTTTATAGGGTTTATAGGGTTTATAGGGTTTATAGGGTTTATAGGGTTTGTAGGGTTTGTAGGGCTTATGGGGTTTATAGGGTTTCTAGGGTTTCTAGGGTTTAGGGTCTAAGGTTTTGGGTCTACAGGGCTTAGGGCTCAGGGAGGGCTGGGGCTTTTCAGTTGAGGCCTTCGAGTTCACTTGGGATCATGGGCTTCGGGGTTTAGGGTTTTAGGGTGTAGGGGTTTGAGGTTATATACACTCCGGGGATTTAGGGTAAAGGTTGGGATGTTCTCCCTTAATACTAACAGTCCTGAATAGGGATTGTAGTATAAGGGGGATTAAAGGGTGAAATCAGGGGTAAACCCGAAATCCTTAACCTTAGGTAAGGTTTAGGGCCTAGATTGACCTCGTGCGCTGGCTACTCAGATCTGGACCCGTTGTTGCGCTTGCGCTTGATCCTCTAGTGTAAGCCCGTGCGAATGTAGAACCCTAGGCCCTCAACTCCTAAACCCTAAACCCTTTATTTTTACAGCTTACAGCTCAAGGGCTTTTACTGGAGCTCAGAGTAGAAAAGAAAGCCCTCGAGCGCCCTCAACCGAGCCGCAAACCAGAAACCCCGGTACACGTCGGATCGAGGCCTGTTGCCAGTCTCCGCTCCGCCTCCTCCCAGGAAGTCTCGAGCTTTCAAGGCCGTAGGATATCTCTGGGCGGTCTTTCAGCTGCTTAAAACAAGTAGGGCCCCCTTACTATACTAACTTAAGGGAGTTATAACCTAAATAAGAAGACTTATAACCCACTTTAGGGCCTTTTATAACCCTACTTGAAATACTCGTCCGACTGAAGTCCAAAAGCAATTGAGAAACCCCAAGCCCTGTACACTTCGAAACTGTAGTCTAAACCCTAAGCCCTAGATTTCTATTTGCTTCAGAGCCCCCCAAATTAGCAAATAGTAATATATGCTCCGAAACTCTCAGGACCCTTGCTGCGACGGCCTGCTGCGCACTTGCCACAGCCGCGGCGGCCGACGCTGCTGTGAAGGCAGCAGCCAATCGCCTCGGCACAGAATCACCCAATGCCCTTTCTCGGTTTAGGGTCTTTGGGGATTAGAGGCGGCGTGGAAGGGCTTGGGGGGTTTAGGGCTTAGGGTTAGGGTAAGGATGGGGTATTTGTCACAAGTAGAAACAGAAGGGCTGGTTAAGGAGGGTTGCAAGTTTTGATACAAGCCCTGTAAGAGCACCCTGAGCCCAAAACCCTAAATCTGCGGGTAGTTCTTTTAATTCGGATTTTAGTAGCTTCTAACACAACTTATTTGCCAACTCTCACAACATTCCCAAATGGACTTTGCCAGGGGTGCAGGTGCGCGTAATCTGGGGATGTAGTGAAAAAGTACCGGGCGATTTAGAGTTTGGCTAGGGTTTCGGGGCCTTCCACTATGTGCGGGGATTGTGCTCCCTTCTGTGTGGACTCACTGTATCTCCCAGTCAAAGAGGGACAGTCGTTACAGTTTCTGGAACGCGAGTCCCTTCATAATGCGGATGCTGGTTACAATACAGGACGACGCACACATCCTCAAGTCCTTGTCATCCATCAGCCCACGCAGTCCCACAAATCAACATGAAAAAAGGCTGGACACATAAATCATCTAATCTCAACATGTGTATCCTTACATTAGTGTACCAATACATATTCTTTATGAATCATCTGTTTTGCCTAGTTGTTTTCAGCCCAGCGACGTTGGGTTCGGCCCCATCCCGACACGAGGAGCACCGAGCCAGTCCTCGCGGTCTTAAGAGCACTGGGTTTAGGGTTTAGGGTTTAGGGTACCCTTTCTCTCTATAGGGTTTAAACCCTCCTACGTCAACCCTTTCTCCCGAAGCCTAAACCCCAAACCCTACCTCAGGCCCCTATAACTAACCCAAAAAGGGACTATTCCCACATTTTGCAGAGGCGGGTCTGCTCAGCAGCAGATGGGACCTCAGGGAGTCCGCGGACACGGAGCCGGTCGTTGCCGTTTGGGTTCCTACTACTTGCCTAAGAACCGCAAAGGAAGAATAAAATAATAATCCCTATAATGTTGTCATTGTAAGGAAGAGTATTTCTTCATTTTTTGGGCGGGTTCAGATGCAATTACTAGGTTCAAGGTGGCTTTAGGGTTTGTGCTTGAAGGTTCGTGGGTACTTGCAAGTAGGGATATAAGTGCCCAATTTAAGGTTACAGCCACAAAAAACCCTACTTAGAACCTCACGAAAAGGTACCCAGGAACCTGAACATAGGGTGTGTAGGGATCAAATTCTTGGAAACTTTTTGTCGCATCAGCCGTCTGACTTGGCCAAGCCCAGACATTGCAAGGCCAGGCACATGTCCATGCCCTGCTTCAGCCTTGTCAATTGCTCTGCATAGCACTGCCGCGCTACACGGGCACTGGGAAGATAAGAGCAAGGTTTAAAACGGAGCCCACTCGCAGAGTCGAGGCAGATAGGTCTGCAAGATAACGGGCTTAGCGCTTGCGGTGGATGATTCACCTTGAACGTGAAGAGCAGCAGCACATGCTGCCAGCGCTCACTTGAGCTCCATATACAACCATGCATTCCATCAATCTCGTTCTCTGCAGCCTAGTACCCAGCCCTATCAAAAACTCTTAACACAAAACCCTACCGTACACCCGTTCAGCCTCAACCCCTAAACCCCTAAACCCTAAACCCTAAGCCCTAAACCCTAAACCCTAAACCTAACCGCAGAAATCCGACCCCCGTCCCCCACTTAAGGCCTTTTAGAAGGTATTTGGAACAAGCGTCCTGCTCAGGAAATTTGGATGGGCAATAGAATCGAGTGTAACTTCCACAGGAACGCGCCGCACTGGTTTGCAACGAACAAACATGAGCTCACCCCAAACTGCGCAAGACTGCAAGAATGGAACCCCAGACAATGACTCTGTCGGCATCGACCGCCTGTGCAACACACATCTCAGAGGCACTCCGCACCCCCCAAACTGACACACGGTGCTACGAGCGAACTCCAGGGCAAACATGGCGGACCAGCAGCGCGTTTTTGACACGAGCAAGGTTTTTAAAAACTAAAAATATTCATTAAATACTATTTCCACACATGTTACAAGAAGAACGGAGTATTTATTAAAGACGCAAAAATTTAAAAACATAGTTGTGCACAACCGTTCTTGGAACAAACTTGTTGTTCCTGATGCTGCAGTTTGTGCCTCACTCCGTCCCCCGCTCAGTCTGCCACTACTGCCGACAAAGTTCTGGAATGCAAAATCATCGTACCTAGTAAAAGGACTTCTTACTTGTGGTCAAGATCTTAAGAAGTGGGATACCTCTACGGAGATGCACCTTTGCAAAAACCGCTCGAAAGATGACGGCTGAAACGCGCTTGCTCATGCTCCCCACAGGGAGCCTGGACTAACAGAGCGCCTTTTAAAAACCCAGGGTGGGGGAGGGGGGTCGGATTTGGCTGGTGATAAACCCCTAAACCCTAAACCCCACGAAGTAGGAGGAGGAGCCACACCACTGATGCAGCACGCAGCATGGGGGCGCTACTCACCAGCGTTGCGGGATCACCGGAGAAGCGGAAGAGTATCTTGTTGTCCCGGTCCATGTCCTGGGTTTAAGGTTTAGGGTTTAGGGTTTAGGGTTTAGGGTTTAGGGTTTGGGATTTGGGGTTTGGGGTTTACGGTTCAGGGTTTCAGGATTCAGTAGGCTAGAGGTTACCTGCTTTCAAACACAACCCGCGAGTGTACGGTTTTGGGGGACAGGAGCTGCAGGCCTCAAGACACAGCTCCGAGAACCCTAGTTGCAGTTATCTGGGCTTAGTGGTTTATAGGGGTTTAGGTTTGCGGTCTAAGGTGTAGGGGTTCAGGGAGGGTCTAAGGTTTAGGATGTGGGGGTGTATACGCGTTCGGGTTTGGGGTCGAGTCTAAGGTTTAAGGTTTAGGGTTTTAGGGTTTGGGGTTTTGGGTCTAAGGCTTAAGTTTTGCGTTTATGGTTTAGGATCAGTTTAGGGCTTGGGGTTAAGGGGTCCAACACTTTAGGGGATCATGGGCTTACTTAGGGTTTTGGGGTCCTGGCTTCGGTTTGTAGGGTTTGCGATGTATGGTAACCCTACATTCAACCCCAAACCCAGAGGTGCAGGAGTGCGTCGGTTCTAGCGCAGGGTCTAGTGTTTGGATGTGTTTGGGGTTTAGGGTTTCCCTTCTCTTTCTCGGGCGCTTCGTCCAGGCTCTAATCCAAAGGAGGGCTGTGGCACCTTGTGAGCCAACAGCTTAAACTGCAGACGTTGAAGCTCCAGCTAGCTTTTGGTGCCGGGCTTACCCGTCTCTAATGGAGTCCCTTTTGGGTTAGCCATAGGGGATTCTGGTATACTACCCCAAAAAAGTACTACATAGGAGCCTTTAGGTAGGGTTTACATGGGCTTGGGGTTTTGGGGCTTACGCGGATGTAGGGGTTTACGAGGTTTCGCAGAGCAAAGTACAAAGGAGGCCAGGGGCCTCGGCCTAGAGCCATGCTGACTACTGCACGAGGGGAGCTGAATGATCTAATGCAGCTGACTCCTGCAGCGCCTTGAAACACTTGCTGTCGCGGATGCCGTAGAGAACCGCGATCTTGCCAGGGTTCGGCTTGAACACCACTCCAACTGCAAAAAATGGGCCTGCCATCCTAGGATGGCACTTACAAGCTTCTGAACAATACTCCCCAATATGTGGTCCTCTTACACCCAATAAGGGAAAATTAGAAAATGTCCCAAGGCCTACCTCGCATCTTGTATATAGGGAGATGCACCACCTGCTGACAGCTGGGGAGACAGAGGTCCTGCTGTATCGAGAGCCAGTTGGTGATGAGCGGGTAGCGAAATGCGAGCATGTCCATGATGCCGGGCATCTGTATCATGCCGCCGGAGAAGTCAGGCGGGTTCATCATCAGTCTTCTCACTTCCGCTGGGTTCTTGCACCTCTCATCGAAAACTGCGAGAGACTCGTAGTTGCCGGCATGATTCCGCGTCGCCGGCTCCAACCTCTCGCGAAAGTTGATCACCATTGTAGCGCCAGCCGCGTCAAACTTGTCGCACAGATGCGCCGTAAGAATGTCGTTCGTGGAGAGGAAAGGTACACCCGACGTGGCATCATGTCCTTTCTTTGCATCCTCGACCCATTCGGGTCGCACGCAAGCCAGGCCACAACCTCCACTTTGGACTAGACCCTGAAAGTACATACTTTTTAGGTATAAGGAGTTATAAATAGGACCCCAGAACCAAAAAACGTGTTATAAGCTGTGTGCATATATATATATATGTATATATATATATATAGTACTCTTTATAAGGAATATAATGAATGAATATATATATATATATAGTACTATATACATATATATATATATATATGTATATAGTGCTCTTAAAACCCAGCAACTGAAGGGCGACCAGCGCAGACAGGACGCCAGTGACCCAGCGATGAACCAGGGGCTGGTCATGAAGGCCTGGGATGGCCCCCTTAAAACCCTTTGAACAACTAATTATTCTATGATATGATCCTGCAGAAAACCCGATCGTAAGACGAACAAAAACAAAAAGAATATATATATATATGTATATATATACATATGTATTAAAAATAAGAATAATGATAAGAATAAGAAGAAGAATAATAATCTCCCAAGCTCCCAAGGTCCCCAAAACCCAACCCTAAACCCCAGAATCTCCCAAGGTGCTGCCTAGAGGCCTGCGCTACGGGGCCGATGGCAGCATCCACCGCGCGCTGGAAGTTGGGGATTCTGACTGCGTCCAGCGACTCGACCGGCTGGTTGTGGCTGAGCATGCCAAAGATGCCTCGGTTTAGGGTTTAGGGTTTAGGGCTGGCGGTTTCTAGACCCAGGAGTAACCTAGGAATGCAAAGGGTGCCCTTCTTGGTTATAAGGGGAATATAAAGTACCCGAAACAAAAAGAAATAAGAGGCCTACTTCGGGTCCTAGATACGGTAGGCCGTAAAGCCATCGCCGATACAGTGACACAGTGAAGTGATGATGGCAAACTTGCCATCCCCCGTCTCCGTGTGGAGCACCGTGAACAACACTTGATCCTTGTCTACTGACTGGCTGCCATCCGGGATTGAATACGCCATCAGCTTGGAAACCATCTCCGAGTACTGCTGGCAGTCTATCCGCAGCCCGATATCTGCCAACGAGAAGAAATGCCGCTCAGTGTCACAGCTTTCCGGGCAGGTTACGACTACTCCTTTGTCTTGAGTTCTGCGCAAGCGGCCCGCCAGCCAAGGATTCGCCTGAATGACAAGCTGCAGGCGCTCGGTAAAGGCTGCCCGATCGAATTGGCCACGAAACTCTGTGAGCAGCATCGTGGGGGGCTCGTGCATGATTTGCCAGCCTCGTTCAAAATCAGACAGACGCTGTTCTCGATCATCAGACATTTGCGGGTGGCGAAGGGCAGGAAGCAAAAGAGAGACGGGCAGAAGCAGGAACTGGAACGCCCTCGATCCAGCAAACGGCGACTTGCAATGGCCAAAGTCCACGGTTGTTCTGTTTTCCTACTCTTTCAGTCAAGAGTGCTACTCGATACAATCCGGGGAGAATGCTTGCATGCTTGGGCCCTCTCTAAGCAACTCAAGAAGGTAAACACCCAAGCCTTTCAGATATTTAAACACCCAAACGACCTTCGTGAGACTCCAGTGAATGCTGCGCGCAACCATTAAAAATCAATGGTCACAATAGCAATAGCAACTTCAAAAATCCACAGCCTACAGCTCTTTGAAGCCACAAGACCGGTTTAGGGTTTAGGGTTTAGGGTTTAGGCTTTAGGCTTTAGGCTTTAGGGTTTAGGGTTTAGGGTTTAGGGTAAGGCTTGAAAGTTGAGGATTCGGGATTGCATTTCTTGGCGGAAACTGCAATGCATCCTAAGGTCCTATGTCCTACAGCCCCGAAAACCCTCAGCTGCCCTAGAAGCCCGAAGTTGCAAACCATAAGCCCTAAACCCTAAACCCTGAACCCTGAACCCTAAACCCTAAGCCCTAAGCCCTAAGCCCTAAACCCTAAGCCCTAAGCCTGCAAGACCCTAAACAAGAGACACGGCCAAGCATCCGCCCCCCACAGAAAGCGGCCATCTGAGCCGGAACAGGAGGAGTCGCCGCCGCAAAGCACAGCTTTCCTGAGCCCCGGGATATAAGTTTAGGGTTTAGATGGGATTAGGGTTTAGGGTAGTGTAGATAAACTACACCCTGAGTTTTTGAGAGCTTTTGGGAACCTTAAACCCTAAACCCTAAACTGGTTTCCGAGCCTAAAAAGTTCAATATAAGGGCTGGGCCTTATGGAACCTGCCATTTTTGGGGGTCTAGCCCCTGTTCTTGCAGGGTTCCATGGAAGTCCAGGTAGGGTTTAGGAATAGCGGGTTAAACATCCTTATTCCGACAGCCTACAATTACACGGCAAGACAAGTTCCTAGAGTTTAGAGTTCAAACATTCGTGAAGTCCCTGAACCCCAACCCCAGACCCCTAGCCCACCCCAAACCCGAAACCCCATAAACCCAAAAAACACCTATAAACTCTATGCAACCCTATAAACCCTATGAACCCTCTAAACCCTCCAAACCCTCCAACCCGAAACCCTAAACCCTCAACTAAACCTTTGCGTCCCAGAGCTCGGATCCAGGCATTCGTCGGCCGTGGTAGCCACGGAGTCGGGACTCGCCGTCTCACGCGTGATTGGGGACGTTATCGTGCCGCACCTGAATTGGTTTAGGGTTTAGGGTTTAGGGCTTAGGGCTTAGGGTTTAACTTAGTCCCTAACCCCGAAACCCTAAACGAGAAACCCAAAGCCCCAAAACCCTAACTCCTTAACTGCACCCTAATCCCCCCGACCCGAAGAACTCCACTCCAAAGAGCCCCAACCTTGAGTCCTCCTAAATCCGATAAACCGCAAGCCGGCAGAACTACAAACCCAAAAGATCCTAAGTACCTACATAGTACTAAGTAGGGGTTTCTATAATAGAAAGTACTACTATGGTTTGGGTAAGTGTCCCCCCCATATAGGTACTTAGGACCCTTTGGGAAACAGGCAACCAAAGCAGCGCAGCCCACACCCCACACCCCAAACCTCGCTTCTTCAAGAACCAAGACCTAAAATTAAGGATGAAACTCTATCAATACTCTTGCAAAAAAGGCACAAGGATCCCAACTTGTTTAGAGTTCATCTATTAGCCGAACCCTAAGCCCTAAGCCCTAAGCCCTAAACCCTGAACCCTAAACCCTAAACCCTAAACCGCAGAAGCGGCGCCGGCCGTTGGAGTATGTGGGCGTCCGACCCCAGCCCGCCTTCAAAAAACATCGGTTTAGGGTTTAGGGTTTAGGGTTTAGGGTTTAGGAATTAGGGTTTAGGGTTTAGGGTTTAGGGTTTGGGGTGGAGAGGGGTGACGCGCGGTTCGGGTTTAGGGCTTAGGTTTAGGGTTTATAGGGCCAGGGTTTATAGGGCTTATAGGGTTTTATGGGGTTTATAGGGTTTATAGGGTTTATGGGGTTTACAGGGTTTATGGTATTTATAGGGCTTATAGGGTTTAGGGTTAAGGCTTAAGGGTGTAGTTTTCGAAGGTTGTCTTGTGTGTAGTGCTTTCGGCTTTGGACAATTCATGTAGGCTAGATCAGTATTGTTAAGGGTCGGCTTTAAAAATAATGCATGTGGGGTTAGGGCTTTTGCTTACTGGCGCAAAACCCAAGGAAATACAAGTTGAAACTTTCAGAATAAACTACCTTATAATAAGAAGCCCAAAAGTTGAAAAAGTTGGGTTTTGAGCCAGTAAGCCCTAAACCCTAAACCCTACACCCTAAACCCTAAACCCCAAAACCCAAGGGTCCAACATGCAAACGTGCATAGGGTTTAGGGCTGAACTAGGGGATGTAGCGCAGCAACCCACGTGGACACAGCAGGCTCCAGGTTCCCATCACGGCCCAAAATCTCAAGTATCTGGACGTATCCAGGGGTTTAGGGTTTAGGGTTTAGGGTTTAGGGTTTAGGGTTTAGGGTTTAGGGTTAGGGTTTAGGGTTTAGCAGTGTCACCCACACAGCCACGACTAGATTCATTCTGATTGGTGATGAACCAGGAGAGAATGCCGACAACTTAGTCCCGTGAGCTAGGGAGCTTACACAGAGTGCGGAAAGAGACTCGGAGGTTCGCGCTACTTGTAAGTAGTTTTATACCTAAAAGGCTTCTATGTAGCACCTTTTTGGGGGTAGTATACTAGCATCCCCTATAACTAACCCAAAAAGGGACTACATTAGAGACTCCAGGTAATTCAGGGTCATGAACCGTCAAGCAGGCGGTTTGCATTTCCCCAACAGCCTACGGGTGTGATTTGGGGCTTGTAGGACGTCGGATATTTGAGGTTTCCTAAACCCTAAACCCTAAACCCTAAACCCTAAACCCTAAACCCTAAACCCTAAACCCTAAACCCTAAACCCTAAACCCTAAACCCTAAACCCTAAGCTGAGGGTTGGATTGGTGCTCCCCGGAGGCCAGCAATCATCGTGGTCTAGCTAGCCCTATACTTCCAGGAGCCTAATAGTTGAGTCCTTAATAGGGTTCGAGTAGCCTAACTATTAGGTCCCTGCAAGTATCGAGTAGCCCTAAACCCTAAATCAAGTAACCCTAAACCCTAAACCCTAAACCATGTAACCCTCAACCCTAAACCCTAATCCAACAAGGAGCCTCTCGAGTAACCCTAAACCCTAAACCCTAAACCCTAAACCAAAAAGGAGGGTTAGCTGGGATTTTTCAGGGTTTGCTGTGCCAGTCTAGCCTCAGAGGCCGTGTACTCCGTTGCCGATGCCCAAGATGAGTCGTCGAAGTCGACGGCAAACCAATTGCTCGGCATCGCGTGGTTCTGCAGAAAAGGGGTCTTAGGCCCGAAGTTGGAACCCAAAAAATCCGAAACCCTCTAAGGGTCTAGGGTTTACAGGGTTTAGGGCGTGGCATTGGTCAGCTGGGCGCAGTAGTGTCAAGACGTGCCCGCCCCCGAGCCACTGAGACACAACTCGCAGCGAACCAAACCGGAGCCAGCCCAAGCCAATTCACCTAAAGCCCTAAGCCCTAAGCCCTAAGCCCTACGCCCGAAGCCTAAACCCTAAACCCTAAACCCTAAACCCAGAACCCAAAACGCTAAACCCCAAACCCCATCCAACCCCTAAGCGCTAACTCCATGCTTACACCACACCAGGCACTCCGAACTTGAAAGTATCATTCTGAAGGGCTTCATCAGGGTTTAGGGTTTGGGGTTTGGGGAGTATTTACCTAAAGGCTCCTATGTAGTACCTTTTCGGCGTAGTATACTAGAATCCCAAAAAAAGGACCTCCAGGCAGGCACATGGGCGCTGAACCCTAAACCTGTCACCGAGCCTCTCACCCAGAACCCTACTTGGAGGCTCATGGTACTTAGTAACCCAATGATAACTGTACTTACAACCCAATGATAACCCTGGTAGGGTGCTTAAGGGGTACTAAGTACCACAAGCCCTAAACCCTAAACCTTAAACCCGAAAAACAAAACCTTAAACCCTAAACCCTAAACCTTATAAGTACCCTGAACCTCCCAGTCTCCACAGGTCCTGCACTTGGCAAGGTGCGAGGTTGCTTGAGGAGCAGCCACTGGTAATTGATGCATCAGTCGGACCGAAGCTGACCTCATGACTCAAAAAACGCAAAGGGCCCTACTCCCTACTCCCGAAACCCGAAACCCTAAACCCTACATAAACCCTAAACCCTAAAACCGGAACCCCAAACCCTAAACCCTAAACCCTAAACCCCAAACCCTAAACCCTAAAACCGAAACCCCCTACCCTAAACCCTAAACCCCAAACCCCAAACCCTAAACCCGAAACCCCAAACCCTAAATTGAAGGGTCGAGGTTTCAGGGTTGAGGGCTTGTAGGCTTCAAGGGTTTGAGGGCTTTAAGGGCTTGGAGGGTTTTCTTGGAGCCCTAGCCCTAGCTGTGGCGGAACCACCACACGGTCCGACTGCTTGTAGCCCTGAAGATACTCCTTATATGGCCCTTGCCCTAAACCCTAAACCCTAAACCCTAAACCCCAAAACCTAAGGGTCCAACCCGAAGGGTCCAAGGTAGAACCCCTAGAGTCGCGTCTCAAAGTGGCTTTTGCTTAGCCATCTTAAGCCCGCTTGGAATTGAAGGGTAGGGCTTTTCGCGGGTTCTCTCTCCGTGTCCCCTCCAAAACCACTCCAACCCCCCAAAAAACCTCCTCCCAAAACCCCCCCCCAAAAACCACCCCCCACTCCCCCGTCACAAAAAAAAAACAACCGAGTCAAAACCCTTTTCCGTTTCCAGTGCATTCATCGGAGGTGTCGCTGAATGGAACAGCTTGGAAAAACCCAAAGCCCTGTATAAGATATGAAACTCCCAATGCTGTCCGGGGTGTCCCTAAACCCTAAACCCTAAACCCTAAACCCGAAACTCCAAACACTACCCGGGGTGTAAGACAGGCCGCAACGAAGGATTTCCAATCTCTGGTGGTCCTTGTTGGGCTCAGGGTGTCAAGTTCTATTTCGACAATCTTTTTGGGACGGTTGCAAGGTCCGTAAACCCTAAACCGTAAACTGGTTTGGGGTGTAGGTTTTAGAAACGAAACCTAAATACACAAGAAGAACGGTGACCGCAAAAAATCCTGAACAACTCCACCCCTTGGACCAAAAAAGTTCTTGAGAGTTGTCCGTTAAATGGTTTCTTGGGTTTCGGGACTTTCCGAACAGAAATGCCTCGACACAAGCGTGCAGGGGGTTAAGGGCTACGGATCGAGGGGGTACAAGCCCTGGGTCTGCGCAAGATAGCCGGCACTTGCTCGCTTGCGGGCGGGTGGGAAATCCAAATTGCTGGCCCTGTTTGGAGGTTTAAGGTCTGGGTTTAGGGCTGAAGGTCTGGAATGTCATCCACTCCTTGTTTAGTGCAAAAAAGACGGCAACATTTACATCAAGCCACCGGCACGAAGTACGAATCATGAACAAGGCTCAACCTGCAACTAGCTTGCTGTTCAGGTACTGAATAACATGTGGATTGAGGGTCTGGGGTTAGCATAATGGGTATATAGCAAAAACATCTGTTCCTGATTATGGTAACTTAAGTAAAGTTCTTTAACAGAACCTTATAATCCCCAAAATGATAGTAGTAACTTATTTGCACTCCTTAGGGTTTAGGACTTGGGGTTGAATCCCGATAAGGAGTCACGGCAATCCTCGTCCCGTCAGAGAACTCCGCCAGCAAAGCACCATCACCCAGTTGCGGGTTGTTTGTTTGCGTGTATTCCTGAGCAGCAACAGCAAAGGACCCTAAACCCCCAAACCCTAAACCCTAAACCCCAAAACCCCAAACTTCCAAACCCTAAACCCTAAACCCTTAACCCCTAAACCCGAACTGGTGGGCTGCCCATCAGAACAATGCTTCTAAATACGCAGCTCAGTCCTCAATGCAACTCTAAATGGCTATGCTGCGGTTTACTCACACCGCACCGGTTGCGGCCAACCCACTTCTGGAGGTCCGCAGAAATGTCAATCAACCTACAAATAGTGCGTGCGCCTCCAAAACCCCGCTATACTTACAGGCCGGAGAGGGGGGGGGGGGGGTCGTAAGTTCAGCACTTAGGAGGATATATGTAACCCAGACCTACCGGGACCTACCGGGTAGTTGCGAGATTTGGGAGTTGGACTTCGTGAGCTTGCGATGCGTTGCACTTGTTAAACACCCAAGGCGCGTAGCCACTGGAGCTGGCGTAGTCTTGGCAAAGGATCGCATAGGTTTTGTTCTTACCCTCCGACTCGTTGTGTTGAAAGCTGACCTTCACGGCATTGTGAGGCGTAAAGTCCAAAGGGTCCTTCGCAATCAGCTGCCCGTTGAAGTAAAACTCGAAGTAGTTGTCGCAGTAGATGTGGCCGGTGATGTCCTCGGCTCACGCGATTTATGCTCAGGATTCCATCAACCCTCGGCAAAGAGAAAAGAGCAGAATAAAGCCCAAGCGACCTCTCTTCAGATTACCCCCCTTCACCCCCTTCATCCTGTAGATTGCCATGACCACTTTCATACTGGAAGCGTACTCGAATCAAGGAGGAGGGCGGGTGTTCACCCTAAACCCTAAACCCCACAGCGTGTAAACACTTTAAGCCCTGACGCTCGAACAAACCTATGGATCCTCTAAACCCTAAACGCTCCAACAACTCTCAACCCCACCAAAACCCCAACAAAACCAATCGCGCCATGGCTTGCTTTGGTCTACCTCGCCGCCCCTCCAGACCCTAAACCTAAGCCCCAAATCCACCTAAAGACTCGCCCCTTTAAACCCTAAACCCTAAACCCTAAACCCTAAACCTTAAACCCTAAACCCTGAACCCTAAACCCTAAACCGATGAACCCCAGCATCGGTCATTGCAACACCCGAGCCGGCCAGCAGCAGAAAGAGCGCGCAGCCAACGCACGCCATGACGCTTTGGGGGGTGCGGGGCGGTTAGTGTAGGCTCTATAGGGTGGTTTTGCAGTTGGAACTCTGAGCCTGCGAAACTCGAAAAAGGAAACCCTAAACCCTAATTAAACCCTAAACCCTAGACCCTTTTTGGGGAGAACTGGAAGCCCTAAAACCCTGTGCTGACAAGTAGGGTTGCACGTACCCTACACAAGGTCGTTGGGTTTGGGGTTTGGGGTTTCAGGTTTAGGGTTTAGGGTTTAGGGTTCAGGGTTTTTAGGGTTTGGGTATTAGGGTTCAGGGTTCAGGGTTTAGGTGAAAAGTACCCTAAGTAAGCCTATAACCATATTTAATTAGCCTTGTTCTAACCCTACGCACAAGTACCCATGAACCTCCAAGCAAAACCCTGAACACTTGCCAGGGCATGAGCCTGTGCCTGTGCCGCCCCCAACCCTGAAACCGACATGCTTCAGATGCCCTGCAGTCCCAAGAATCAAACCCTTTAAGGGATTGGGCCTGCGTGAGTATCCGCGAAAAAGGCTAAACCCCAAACCCTTAACCAACCTGCCGTGAACGTACAAAGAGGGTCTGGTCTCAGACCCGACATCTCGCAAAAGTGGCATTACACCCTAACCTTAAGCCGAAACAACCCAAAGCCCTACACAACCTAAACCACCGAACCTCCAAACTGCCTCAACCCCCAAACATCCTGAACCTAACAACCTCTAAACTCAAGCCCCTAAAACCCTTCGGGGCCCGAAAGCACAAAAAATCGAAAACCCTATACCCCAAAACCAAATGCCCGAAGCACCCCAACCTCAAAAGCCCTAAACAACCCGAGCAATTCTGAACACAAATAGTGCTAAAACGAAAGCGAACAACACCGGTTGAACAAACTTAAGCAAAGACAAAACAATCCAACGGCCCTTCAAAAAACACCCAACAAGCTTGAACAGCTAAAACACCTGCAAACCCTTGCAACCCTTGAAGTCCTGAACCATCGCGGAAACTCCTTCCACCCAAAACCCCAAACCCAAAGTCCTAAACCCTAAACATACTCTTAGCCTCAAGGGGGGCAGAGCCCACGTGGGGGTTTACGAAATAAGGGACCCCTAATAGAGTCCTCAAATAGTAGGAAAAGAACCCCTAAATCCCTAAACCCCAAACCCTAAACCCTAAACCCTAAACCCCAAACCCTAAACCCCAAAACCTAAACCCTACTTTCGGAAACCCCATGTGCACTCCTCGAGGTCCGACAGCGCCGCGGTGGGAAGTCCGAGGGCAAGATTGCAGGCCTCGGCAGTTTCGGGCTTGGCGTTTGGGGTTTAGGGTTTGGGGTTTGGGGTTTAGGGTTTGGGGTCCGCCGACCCTGGCGGGTGTTGGATGGGAAAAGGAGGTGAAAATCTCCCTCTTTCCCTCCTTACCCAAAACGTGGGGGGGGGGGGGTACCCGGGCAGCTTTTCCATGAAGGGCCAGGCCACCCACACCGCATAAACTCACGGACCATAGGCGGTTTCGCACAGGACATAGGGAGAAAAAAAACCCGCCCACCCCCCCCCCTCTCCCTGCCCCCCCAGCCCTACCCCCCCCTACCCCCCCCCCCCCCCCCCCCCCCCCCCCTACCCCCCCTACCAATTGATGGGGCTGCCCTGGCCTTCAAGCTGGCTTCCGCTCCTGTTTGGGTCCCAACGTTTCACAGAGGCTCAAGCACATCAACTTTTTTGGCATCCTTTGAGCTGACGAGCGCGTTTTAACCTTTCAACTATGCTCCAGCGGGGTCGGCGGCTTGAGCCGGAGGCTCTTAAATCTAGGGAATGTGCAATGGGTGTACCGTGCCTGTACGGCTTGAAGGGCTTCAGAGATTTTCAGGGGGCATAGGGTTGAGAGGGCGAGAGCCGTGACTCTCAGTAGGAACGATCAAGGGTTCAAGGAACGTCTGGTCCGGTTTAGGGTTTGGGATTTAGGGTTTGGGGTTTGGGGTTTAGGGTTTGGGGTTTAGGGTTTGGGGTCTGGGGTTTAGGGCTTCAGGGGTTAAGGCGGGTTTGGACGGTTTGGTAGGAGGGGTTTATGGCTTAGGGTTTGAGGGCTTTCGCGCGTTTCGGGGTCGGAGCTGAGAGCTCGGGGGGGAGGGGGGGAGGGGGGGTGGTTAGGGTTTAGGGTTTAAGGTTTAGGGTTTGGGGTTTGGGGTTTAGGGTTTAGGGTTTAGGGCTCAGGGTTTAGGGTTTAGGGTTCAGGGTTCAGGGTGTAGGGTTGAGGGTTTAGGGGTTAGGGACTAGGGGTTTAGGGTTTAGGGTTGTGTAAAGGTTTAGGTGGGCCGCCGATACCTGGTTCCTTTTCCGATTCCCACCTTGAATCTGTCCTTGTAGTTTGGGAAAGGGATGAGGGTTTGGGGGCTTTAGGGTTTGAGGATTTAGGGGGGGGGGGGGGGGGGGGGGAGGGTACAACAAATTCAACATGTTAGCAACCTAAGTCGTACCAAAAGAAAGCATAGGGGAAAGCAAAAGCCCCTTGGAAACATGCCAGGGCAACTCTCAAAGACCCTGCAGTCTAGACCCGAAACCCTAAGCCCCAAGCCCTAAACCCTTCAAGCCACACACAGATCGGACAAGGTGCTGCCGCCTGGTCCTGTGCCCAAGGAGGATGGTATGTTGGCTCAGGACTCGTGGCTTTCCTAAACTCTCCTATGTAGTGCCTTTCTGGGGTAGTAGACTGGAATCCCTACTATCACTAACCCCCAAAAAGGACTACAGTAGAGACTCCAGGTTCAGACTGCTAGATGTGCAGCTGTGGGATTTCTATACCTTGGTAGCCCAGTAACCATCTTATTCTAAGGGCATCCTTTCTTGGGTTGGCTATTCTATAAGGAAACAAGACCCAAAAAAAGGGTAAAGGGTACCACTGGGCTACCAAGATACAAGAGTTTAGAGTTTTGGGTTGCGAGCTGCATCACCCGGACAAGAAGCCAGTCCGAGCTGCCACAAGTCCTCCTTGAACCCTAAACCCTAAACCCTGACTTTCTGGGAAGCAGGACGTGTCCCAGCCATATCCCAGCTCTTGCCATCTAGCGGCAATCAGACGGTATGAACCCCGAGAGTAAGGACGAACAAAAAGGACACGATGGTTTAGGGTATGGGGTTTAGGTTTAGGGTTCAGGGTTTAGGGTTTATAGGGTTCCGGCTCATCGGGTTTAGGGTTTAGGGCCCTAAACCCTAAACCATGTCTTCGGTTTCGGGTTTGGTTGTTTACGGTTTTCAAGTTCTCGAATTTGTTGCCTTCTCCCTTTCTGCCTGGACCCAAGAGTAACCAGGGTGCCCCTTTTTGGTTAAAAGCGGCTTCTAGGGGAACAAACAAAAGTGAGAAAGGGCCTACTCTGGGTCCTAACCCTAAACCCTAAACCCGAAACCCCAAACCCCAAACCATATGATAAGCCCAGGCCTGTCGACCGCGCCGGCGTAGGTCCAGTGCCCAGGTGCGGTAGGCGTGATGCACCAGCCTCGGCTCAGGCTGCGATGTGCGGTTTCATGGCAGGGTTTAGGGTTTAGGGTTTAGGGCTTAGGGTTTAGGGTTTAGGGTTTAGGGTTTAGGGTTTAGGGATTCGGGTTTCGGGTTTCGGGTTTCGGGTGTGGGTTTAGGGTTGGTGTATATATATCTTGGCTTCGTGATATGAAGTTCAGCGCTTTCGCGCCCCTTCTGCCAAATCGCCCAGGGACCTGCAATGCTGAACCCTGAACCCTAAACCCTAAACCCTAAACCCTCAACCCTAGACCCTAAACCCTAAACCCTAAACCCTAAACCAAATCGGGCAGATGCTATCCCCGGCCCCTCGGACCGGCAGCCCCCCCCTCAGGGACCGGCTCGGCTTCTGAGTTGCTGTCTTCGCGCGTTGGCAGTCTAGGGTTTAGGGTTTAGGGTTTAGGGTTTAGGGTTTAGGGTTTAGGGTTTAGGGTTTAGGGTTTAGGGTTTAGGGTTTGGTGGCACTCAATGTGGGTTCTCCTCTGCAAAGTCATCGTCCACGCCCAAAGAGTATCGCAGGTTTTTTCACTGCCGACACCACTGTAAACTTCCTGGAAACCTCCAGCTAATCCGGTAATCCCTTACAGACTCTTGCTATAATACCCTAACCCTAAACCCCTAACCCCTAAACCCTTAAACGAATACAATAAATTAAGTTTGATATCGGAGATGAAGGGGAGGGCACTCATTTCGGTAACTGCCCATGCATACACATCCTGTCGACCCTTCAACAACTCTGAAACCTTGGAGCCCTAAACCCCAAGCGCTAAATCTTAAACCTAAACCCTAAACCCTTAACCCTAACCCTAAGCCCTAAACCCTAAACCAATGGTTGCGGACATCCTGCACCCGAGGGGCGGATGCTTCGGAGGCAGGCGCAGGCGTGCCAGGAGCAGCGCCTCTTTCACACGCACGACGGGCTGGATAAATAAGGACGGGGCACAAGAGATATGTTTAGGGAGGGTTTAGAGTTTAGGGTTGAGGGTTTCGGGTTAAGGGAACTTTGAACCGGGAAAAGGGCAAAAGGGTGCCACTGGGCGAACCAAGGGTTTAGGGTTTAGGGTTTAGGGTTTAGGGTTTAGGGTTTAGGGTTAGGGCTTCGGGCGACACAAGAAGTCCCAGCCCTGCATGAGCAATTGTGTCGATGGTCGCACCAAGAGGGGTCCTACTCCATACGTGGTCGTTCCCCTTTATACTAACAGTCCTTACTAGCCATTACAATCGGGGGTACTCTAATCCCTATTAAGGACTGTTAGTATATCCCAAGCTATGCCTTCTTGCCATTGTAGATCAGGGACCCAAAAAGGATCGTCATCTAGAGAACCAACGCTTCAAACTCCCCCCGAATGAAGCAACTTGACAAAAAAAACATTCCGAAAACAACAAGCAACATTTGAGGGCTTACGCTTACATTCGAGAAATCTTCCTTTTCAGGTGACCCTAAACAAACCCTTAACCCTAGCTTTAAGCCCTAAACCCTAGACCCCAGACCCCAAACCCCAAAACCT